GCCGCCGGGCTCCTTCGTGACGGCTGTCACTTAGTTTATTTCCGGGATTACTTTGTTAATCAAACGTTTTAATTAGAAATAGGAACCTGGGAGAGTCCTGAAGTGAGCGGCGATCAGCCCCTGCCTCGGACATTCCACACCTCCTCCGCAGCTATCGGAGACTGCCTGTACGTGTTTGGAGGGGGAGATAAAGGAGCAGAGCCCGTCAAAGACCAGCGGCTCCACGTGTTCGACACAGGTATCTCTGCACGTGGGAAGGGACCAGAAAGGGTTTGCTCCCCTTTGAATTAACTTTTCCTGCTGCTCTGTGACCCTGGTAACACAGAGCTCTGTGGGAGGCCTTGCCTGTGCCTCGTGACCGGGCATTAACCTTTTGTCTGACCCCAGTGGAAGCCTCCGCAGGGCTCTGGGTTCACTGGTTTGGGGAGCAACAGAGTTCTCGTTCTTCCTAACGTACGTGTGCTTGTTTTCAGCCACCTTGACCTGGTCCCAGCCAGCTACTCAAGGTGACCCCCCCTCTCCACGGCACGGACACGTTGTGGTTGCAGTTGGGACCAAACTCTTCATACACGGAGGTTTAGCTGGAGACACTTTTTACGATGATCTGTTCTGCATCGATATAAGTAAGTAGGGAGAGATGTGCCGCAGAGCAATAGGTGGTGTGCGACATGTTTTGATTTTGGGGGCCCTCTTCTCCAAAAGATCAGTTCATAAGTGCTTATAATATTACTCTATTTGTTTAAAACAAAACTTGTGTGGGTTTGGTTTTTTTAATAATGCATACCCATAGATGCATTTTTTTTCTCCAACAGATAACATGAGATGGGTTAAGATACCAGCCACCGGTGACATCCCAGGGGGACGGGCATCCCACTCAGCAGCGGTGTTTAAAGACCACTTGTACATTTTCGGTGGAATAGGTCCCGCCGGGACACTGGATACAGCGTACAAATATCACACAGGTAAGGAGACTTCTCTCAGCTGCGTGACAGTAAATGCCAGGCAGCTGGAAAATGCATTGTGCCATCAGCTCCTGGGCCTCCTGCCCCTGGTAACAGCACCATTGCCCTGGAGGGACACCGGCACCAGGCTAAACCCTCTGTAATGTTGACAGTTGGTCCCATTAATGATGTCCTTGTCCCAGCATGCTTTTTAAGTCTGCAAAACTACATTTAAAGGTGCAAGTGTTTCACCTTTGCATTGCAGAGAAGCAGCGGTGGACGCTCCTGCAGTTCGATTCCCCTCTGCCCACGGGGAGGCTGGACCATGCCATGTGCGTCGTGCCCTGGCCGGCAGGTGGGAGCGGAGACACCAGAGCCAGCACCTGGGAAGAGAAAGCTGGGAAAGAGCCGAAGGTGCCATCAGGTAACAGAGCCGGGAAAGAGCCGCCTGTGCTGGTGGGTGACAGTGCCAGCCTCCCTGAGAAGAGCGCAGAGGGGTGCACTGAGGACACCGTGCATCTGCTGCTGGTGTTTGGTGGGATGGACACCCAGGGGGAGATCTATGGGGACTGCCTGGTCAGTCTGATCCAGTAGTAGAGCTGCAGCCTCGGGCAGCACCAGCCTTTTCTACACTTTTTATAGTACTGGCAGATCCAGTTAATTCTTCTTTCCAATAAATGAATTCTTTACCTGAAACGCATGTCACGGTGCTGACGCTCCCAAGGTGCAGGCACAGCCCCACAGCTTCACCACCGGCGCTTGGCCGCAGGTTACTGGAACGCGAGAGCCCAGCGTGCGCCAGCTCGAGCAGCTCCCGCTGCCGAAGCACGTCTGGCCACAGAGCTGCAGGAGCACCGGGAAGTAGTTTTCTAGGGGGACTTCTGTTTCAGCTTTTACAGTTCTGGAGAAGAGCAAAAAACCAGGAGCTGGGGTGGGGGAAGCAGCCCACACCCGTGGAAAGCGCTGAGTGGGTTTGAGGAGGCAGAGAGCAGGCACCACTAAAGCTCCTTCTGCTCAGGTTCAGTTTCTTGTCTAATCCCAGGGAGGAGAGCAGGAAGGAGAAGGCCGGGTTCCGATCAGGCTTGCCTTTTTTTTTCCCCCAAGGAACAGATACCAGCTATAGACTAGTTTTCAGAAACTTCTTCTGTTGCTCTACTAAAGCTCCTAAAGTAGTTTCACTACTGCAGGAAAATTAATTTTTAGTAAACTAGTGTCTCCTCTCCTACTTTCCCCACACTGCATGGAGACAGCTCTGCCCCCAGGCTCACCTTGGGGCCCCAGAGCCACAGCCCACCCTTAGAACCACCTCGGCTGGAATGGGCTGCTCTAACTCGGGAACAGAAAACAGGAGCTCGAACAGAGTCCAGTGTAAATAACAAATTTATTGTGGTCACTTCAGGTAGAAAAGTTCTACACCAAACGCACATGACCAAGCTGTTAAATAGAACGCTTCCACTGCCGGTACTTCTGACCCCCGTTTGCATTTACACTCCCCCCCGCGACCCTCCCCTCCCCAGACATCAAGCAACTGCTAATGAAAAGCAGTATAGAGCCACTTTGGGCTAGCGGTTCCAGCTCCACTCACGAGTGAAGATTCAGAGTTACATTCCAAATTAAGAGTTCAATATTTTAAACAAGTGTTCCTGAGTCCAATATATACACACACAACATTCAGAGATGCCCGTATCTACAACTCGTCCTTCTCTGCTGCTTCCTCTTCACCCGGGGGAGGGCCTGCGCTGCCATAGAGCTTGCTAACGATGGGCTGAACCACTTCCTCCAGCTCTTTCTTTTTTGCTTTGAAGTCTTCAATGTCTGCATCCTGATGGCTTTCCAGCCACTCGATCTTTTCCTCTACCACTTTCTCTATTGTTTCTTTGTCTTCAGATGACAGCTTCCCACCCAGCTTCTCTTTGTCCCCAATCTGATTCTTCAGAGAATAGGCGTAGCTCTCCAGCTCGTTCCGGGCATCGATGCGCTCCTTAAGCTTCTTGTCTTCCTCTGCAAACTTCTCAGCATCATTGACCATCCTCTCGATCTCTTCAGGAGTCAGTCGGTTCTGATCGTTTGTGATAGTGATTTTGTTCTTGTTCCCGGTGCCCTTGTCCTCAGCTGTGACGCGGAGGATCCCGTTCACGTCTATCTCAAAGGTCACTTCAATCTGGGGGACACCACGAGGGGCAGGAGGGATGCCAGTGAGATCAAACGTTCCCAGGAGATGGTTGTCCTTGGTGAGGGGACGCTCACCTGGAAGACACAATCAGATATTACCATTTCTTTCTTTCCTGGCTGTGGCTTATACCTCGTGAAACCAAAAGTTATGCTTGTTTTTAAAGGTAAGGCTTTCAATTCCAACCAGGCTTCTGTCTGGGCACCTCTTACCCTGAAGAGCTCCTCAGAACAGAGCCACGAAAGAGAAACACCTCTGAAGACATTCTAGTAACAGCTTTTGATGCAGGTCAAGCAGCCCGATCAGAGCAGATTCAGAGAGCTAGCCCTGTCACCTTTTGGAAGCAGATAGCCATAACTATCTAGAAATATCTACAGCCTTGGTGCTAAGGCAGGAACAAGTGTTAGAGTCCTCCAGCTGCGACACGGCCCAGCAGAGGTGGCACACCTACCTTCATAGACCTTGATCGTCACAGTAGGCTGATTGTCAGAAGCCGTGGAGAAGATCTGAGACTTCTTTGTGGGAACAACAGTGTTTCTTGGGATCAGTTTGGTCATTACACCTCCAACAGTCTCGATGCCAAGTGTCAGAGGGCAGACATCAAGCAACACCAAGTCACCTGCAACAGATCAAGGGCAAGACTGACATGACTTCACCCTGAAAGAAGCATCTCGTCACCGCCAACAGGATCCTGAGGTCTCAGAGGCACAAAACTTCTTGAGGACTGGAAAAGAGGTTCTGCTCTGTTTATCGGTAACTACTCTCCACAGCAAAGGTGTCATTACCTGTATCTTGATCCCCAGAGAGAACGCCAGCCTGGACAGCCGCACCGTAGGCTACAGCCTCGTCCGGATTAATGCCACGGGAAGGCTCTTTGCCATTGAAGAACTCCTTAACTAGTTGCTGTATTTTGGGGATGCGAGTGGAGCCACCAACAAGAACGATCTCATCAATGTCAGACTTCTTTAGGTCAGAATCTTCCAGAACTTTCTGAACAGGCTTCATGGTGGAACGGAACAGGTCCTAGAAAAGGAAAAAAATCCTAGGACTATACAGCTGCATTCCCACAGGCCGAGCCTCTGAATTACTCAGCCTTTGAGTACCAAGAACAACCACTCCAGGGGAGGAACATCAACTGGCTCATTACCAGCCTTGATGAGGCCTCAGCTGTCATCACACACACCCAGCCCCAGCCACCCGAGCAAGGAGCAGCTGCCTGCCCTGCAAGCAGGGAGCTATTTATACCCCAAAGCACAACGCTGCAAACATACACTTCTCCAGCGTGAGGCAAAGTAACTTTATCTTTCTAAACTTACCATGTTCAGCTCCTCAAACTTGGCTCGAGTAAGTGTTTCCGAGAAATCCTCTCCTTCAAAGAAGGATTCTATTTCAATTCTAGCCTGGTGCTGAGATGACAAGGCTCGCTTTGCTTTCTCCACTTCTCGTCTTAACTTCTGCACAGCTCTGTTATCCTTCCTAACATCTTTCCCAGTTTTCTTCTTGTAGAGTTTGATGAAGTGTTCCATAACACGTTGGTCAAAGTCTTCTCCACCCAGATGAGTGTCACCATTCGTAGCCACAACTTCAAAGACTCCGTTGTCAATTGTGAGAAGGGAGACATCAAAAGTTCCGCCACCCAAGTCAAACACGAGGATGTTCTTCTCGCCCTCTCTCTTGTCCAATCCATAAGCAATGGCAGCAGCTGTCCTGTACAGGGAATGGCCCAGTCAGAAAACTGGGACCACCACCCCTCCCCCAAACCTCCCCAAGGGGCAGAGCAGGTTCAGCTACTTACGGCTCATTAATAATTCTCATCACGTTCAGCCCAGCAATAGTACCAGCATCTTTCGTGGCCTGACGCTGAGCATCATTGAAGTAGGCCGGCACAGTAACAACAGCGTGGGTAACCTGGGTAAGGAGCAAGCAGCACAGTTTGGTTACAGAAATGCAGCAAAAGCACACAGCAGGGCTGGTAACAAGGAGCCCATTGTTCTTTTAAGGGACGCAAAAGCTCACTGTCAGCTGAGCCCAGTCAGCTGGGCTGCCCCAGGGGCCAGCAACACTGAGCAGAGCGCAGGACTGCAATGTTAGTCCACAGGTCCAGCCCAGCCATCTTTAGTTTTGTCAAGCTGCTGCTTTAGGTTACTACAGGAACTTACTTTCTTCCCCAGGTAGGCCTCTGCAGTTTCCTTCATCTTTGTCAAGACCATGGCAGAAATCTCTTCAGGAGCAAATGTTTTTGTCTGTCCACCTCCAACATCAACTTGAATGTGGGGCTTGGCTTTCTTTTCCACAACCTGAAAAGAGCAATACATCCTGTCCAGGTCAACCATTCATACAGTTACTCCCACCTGTCTCTTTCTTTCTGAAGATCAAGCAGAGCTTCTACAACAGACATAGCTTCAGCACCAGCTAACTTAGGAACTCGCCTGTTCAGCACAGCCATGTCACTGCACCCTAACCCTCTCGGGAGGGCTGGGGAGCTGCAGGGTTGCTCAGAAGGGCACCATGATTCAGCAGCCCCTTGTGACCACACATGTCAGTCCCCCTCCCACCATCCAACTCACCTTGAAGGGCAGGTACTTGATGTCCTGCTGCACAGAAGGGTCATTCCAGGTGCGGCCAATGAGCCGCTTGGCATCAAACACTGTGTTCTCAGGGTTGGACGTTAGCTGGTTCTTGGCAGCATCCCCAATCAAGCGCTCCCCCTCGGGCGTGAATGCCACGTAGGATGGCGTGATGCGGTTCCCCTGGTCGTTGGCGATGATTTCCACGCGGCCATTCTTGAAGACGCCCACACTGGGGAGGAGGGGGTGTAGTGGAACAGTGAGCCGATGCTCGGGCCTGCACCCTCCCCCACCCCTCCTCTCTTCCCCCCT